CCCCTCTGGGCTTCGTCTTGGGGCTTATTTGGAGCCATCCTGGGTCTATCTTGAAGCCTCAAGAGCCGATCGGAAGAAAAAAGCGAGCCTTGGGCCTCTCTGGGGCTCGTCTTTGGCCTCTCCAAGGCCATCCTGAGGCCATCTTGAAGCCTCAAGAGCCGATCAGACGCGAAAAGGCGAGAAGGCCAAACACATTATTTTTCCATGTGTGTTTCAAAGATTTTCACCCCTCCAGGCATGCTTGGGTCAGTCCTGGCTCTCTCTGGGGCTCGTCTTGGGCCTCATTTGGGCCATCTTGGAACCATCTTGACGCCTCACGCGCCGATCGCAAGCGAAAAGGCGAGAAAACCAAAAACATTAAATTTCTCAAGACGTTTGAGCGATTTTGGCCGAACCGGGCATTCTTGGGCCAGTCTTGGGCATCTCTTGGGCCCGTCTTGGGGCTCTCTTGAATCATCTATGAGCCATCTAGAGGTTTCAAGGGCCCATCAGAGGCGAAAAGGCGAGCAGGCCACGAAGATTGATTGACCCAAGGTTTTTTGATTTAATCGATTCGCTCATTCCGCCGGCCCATGTAGCCTTATCTCTGCCGTTTGCCCGAGGGCTGGTTGTCAATGCGGCGCTGCTGGGGTCTCTCGGCAGGCGTTTCGGGAGCCTCTTGGAGGCAGTTTTGAAGCCTCTTGAGGTCTCTTGGGGGCCGTTTGAGGGCCTTGGGGTTTCTTGGGGTTTCTTTGGGCATCCTGGGGGTTTCTTGGGGTTTCTTGGGGGCCTCTTTTTGGGCATCCTGGGGGTTTCTTGGGGTTTCTTTGGGGCTTCTTGGGAGCTTGCTGGTGGCTTCGGAGGTGCCAATTAGGGCGGAAAGCTCGAAATGCCTTCGTGGGGACGTGCTGGTCGTGGATGCTCACTGTGGGGCTTGTCGATGGGGGGGAGGGGACATCTGATGCGATGATGGAACCCTCGTGTCCGAGGGTGGCGGGCTTTAAATGCGATCATTGGCTTTTCTTGTCCTGATGTGCGCTGTCTATTGCGAAGGCCTTACGGCCGGTGCCGCCGACCCTGAATGGCGACGACGACGACGACGACGACGAGCGCTCTTGGGGGCCTCTTGGGGGTAGTTTGTGGGCCTCTTGGGAAGCTCTTAGGGGCCGCTTGGAAGCCTCGTGGGGGCCTCTTGGGGCTTCCTGGGGGTCTCTTGGAGGGGGCCTGGGACGTCTTGGAGGCTTCTGGACGGTCTTGGGGCTATCTTGGGCGTTTTCGGCCGATCTTTGGGCGACTCGGGGCCCTCTTGGGCCGTCTCGGGGGCCATCTTGGGCATTCGGACCTCATTTGGAGTGTTTTCGAGGTTTCTAGGCCGCCCGAGGAAAAACGAATCTGCCCCCCACCCCCCCCGGGACCCCCCGGGACCCCCCCGGGACCCCCCCCCCCCCTGGGGAAGGGATCAAAGGGAAGGGGCTTCCCTTCGACTCGATTACGACACTGCTAGATTTTTCTCTCGCTCACGAGCTTGAGAAGGAAGCTGCAGGGAAAGGGGACGACGGAGGCGACGACCGACGGAGACGACGACTCGAACAGCCAAGCCCCTCGCACACGCCGACAGGGTCGGCGGATTTCTTACTTTCTCCCAGGCGTGCGTGTGGGGGTAGGCGATTGGATGGAGAGCGGGAGCGGGAGAGACAGATAGTAGGAGGAGGAGGTGGAGGTGGAGAAGGCGTAGCGAGGAGTGAGGTGGAGCGTAGAGGAGGAGGTGGCGGAGGAGGTGGCGGTATAACGATGTTTGCTTTTCCAGGCCCTCTTGGGTCGGCCTTGGGCCTCGCTGGGGACCGTTTCAAGGCTCTTTGGGGCCTTCTTGAGGCCTCCAGAGCCGATTGGCAGCGAAAACGCGAGACATTTTGGCTTCTCCCGGCGCCCTTGGACCCGTCTGTCTTGGGCACGCGTGCCGGCTCTCTGGGGCTATCACGGCGCCATCTTCAGGCTTCCAGATCTGATCGGCAGCGACAAGGCGGCCATGCCGAAAACATGCGTTTTCTCATAGTTTTTGACACATCTTGGCCTCTCTGGGTGCTCTCCGGCCTGTCTTCCGCCTCTTTTGGGTCCGCCCGCGAGCTCTCTTGACCACTCCTGCTGCCCTTTGGCCTCGAGCGCAGATTCCAAGCGACAAGGCGAGAAAGACCAGAACCATGGAAGTTCCCGAGGTTCTCAATGGAGTTTGGCCTCTCGGGGAGGTCTTCAGCCTGTCTTGGGCCTCTCCAGGGCCCGTCGTGGGACTCTCTCGGACAATGCGGAGGCACTCTGGGGGCTCTGTCGGAAGCTCTCGGAGGTCTCTTGGACTCCCCCTCGCGTGTCCTACGCTTGTTGTGCGCAGCCGTTTGTGTTAAGCTCTGGCGTCCCTCCTCTGCGACGATGCCTCCTAGCAAAGCGGATGCATTCGTGTGCGAGACATCTTCGCGCATTTGGGCCCCGAACCGCCCTGAGCAGGCCTCTGCTGGTGTTGTACGGTCGCTCCCGCTAAGGACCCCCTCACCCATCCCAACTTCACGGCGGCCCGCCGCATGTCCACGCGCACGCGCGCCGCCTGCATCCGAAACTACAAGGAACAAGGTGCATGGCGCGAAGCGCCAATGCAGACTTGTGTGTATACATCTTCTATACATGTTTGTATATATATATGTATACACGTGCATACATGTGCATGCTCATACATGTATGTATGTATGTATGTATGTATGTATGTATGTATGTATGTATGTATGTATGTATGTATGGATGTATGGATGTATGGATGTATGGATGTATGGATGTATGGATGTATGGATGTATGGATGTATGGATGTATGGATGTATGGATGTATGGATGTATGGATGTATGGATGGATGTATGGATGTATGGATGTATGGATGTATGGATGTGTGGATGTGTGGATGTGTGGATGTATGGATGTATGGATGTATGGATTGATGTATGTATGTATGTATGTATGCATGCATGCATGCATGCATGCATGCATGCATGCATGCATGCATGTATGTATGTATGTATGTATGTATGTATGTATGTATGTATGTATGTATGTATGTATGTATGTATGTATATATGTATGTATGCATTCATGTATGCATGCATGCATGTATGTATGCATTTATGTTTTTATGTATGTATGTTTGTATGTATGTATGCATATATCTATATATATGCATACGCTGTGCGATACGGGACAGCTCTAGCCTGGATGCTTCCATCTTGAAGCTGAGTCTTCAGGCGCTGCTTTCCGCGACGCGTGTCGGCCCACTGGCTCTCCATCATGTTTCACACTTGCAGGCGCTTCTGCTGTCGGCTCTGCCGGAGGATCTCGGGATCATCTGGGGCCTCTTGGGGCTTTCTCGTGGCGTCTCGGGGACGCTGGGGGGGGCCTCGGTCTTCGCGGCATACGAGGACCTCGTCGGGGCGTCTCGGGGCCGCTCCGGTCCTGGGCAGGCTGGAGCGCCTCCTGGGGGCCCGTCGAGAGAAGGAGCAGAATTGGGAGGAGGAGGAGGCGGATGGGGTGCAGGAGCAGAAGGGTGAAGCAGCAGCGACACGAGGAGCAGAAGGATGAGGAGGAGGAGGAGGAGGAGGAGGAGGAGGAGGAGGAGGAGGAGCAGGAGCAGGAGCAGGAGCAGGAGGAGGAGGAGGAGGAGGAGGAGGAGGAGGAGGAGGTGTGCCCGGCTCCATGGGCACCCGCGTGTTGTTGACAGGCTGGACGCGTTTGAAAAAGAAGCGTCCGAGCCGCACCCAGACCTCCCCGCCAGCGGTCCGCACGCTGAGAGGAGGCCGTCGCCATAAGCAGGTTCTTCTTCAGTCGCCTTGATTTGTTTTCCCCAGCCAGTGTTCTGGTGACCCACTCGTCCGTGGGTCACCTGTTGCTCGCGACCCGCATGGAAAAAAAAAGAGGAGGAGGAACACGAGCAAGATTGCGACTGTGAGCTCGAGGAGGAGGAGGAGGAGGAGGAGGAGTAGGACCAGGAGCAGAGGGGAGCAAAGATAAAGGACACAATGCGGAGACGGAGGGGAGGAGGAGGAGGAGGAGGAGGAGGAGGAGGAGGAGGAGGAGGAGGAGAAGGAGGAGGGGGAGGAGGCGGAGGAGGAGAAGGAGGAGGAGAAGCAACAGCAACAGAGGAGAGACAAGGAAACTTGGAATCTGACAGAAAGATATTGCGTCTTTGCTGTGCGTACGGGACGCGTTTACCTTGCTCGCTGGCCCATGTTTTCCAAACGGGCGCAGCCTTGGGACGAGAACCTGTGATATTTGCGACGGGCCAGTGCTCTAGGAGCGACAATCGTCTGTATCTTACGATGGTCTTGTCTTCGGATGGGCAGACTTGTTTAGACGACCCCCATGTGAGACGAATTTGATAACTATCCCTCTTTTGGGTAAAGGGGCCTTCTTCGGGGTGCCAGAGAGCTGCTACATGGAAGGCCACCACATGTTTGGGGGCACAGGTGGCTCCAGTACTTCCGGTTGTGCTGACAGCGCCCGAGGCCCAGCAGTCTAGCAGAGCGTCTTGACTGCTGCTCTGCAGTAGTTCTGGAGCGGCCAGCGCTAGAGGAAAGTCAAGTTTCGACTCGATATGTTTCATCTTCCTGGGGGCACCACCACATCGTGAAGAGTGCGCGATTCGTGCAGTATTTGATCGTGTGGCGCGCTGCTCGTCTCTCTAACTCCGATTTTCACCGTGCGGCTGCTGCACGTGGACGTCACTGCGCCTCCTTCCCGGGAGCTTCAGGAGCCCGACGCCGTGCAGCTGCAGAAGTGTATCGAGCTCGCCTCCCCTCCAGAGTCATCCCTTCCCACCCCCTCCTTCCCGTTCCGTTCCCCTCCAGAACCATCCTTTCCACTCCCCTCGAGCTCCCTTCTCTAGCCCGCTCCCCCGTCGCCTTCCCGTTCTCCCCATCACCCCTGTTCGCTGAAGCCGCCCATGGGTTCGGGCAAGACTTCCCGATCATACTGTAATCCGTTCGTGCATACATGGCCCACCTGTTGGGAGTTCTGCTGCTGGTGGTGCCATCGAGTCCATCGGCTCTATTGCTGAGGGACGGGCTGCATGAAGATCCAGACCCTTGGGTGCAGAACTGCGAGGATCAGGAACTTGCGAGGAACGCGAGCCGGAGGGATGAGCTAGACTACGGGCCCTGCTTCGATGAGGAGGAGGTGAAGATAGCTATGCGCGGCGCTCAGTTCGTGGGGCGGAACTCCTCTTCCAAGGACCCGAGCAGCAAGATTGCGACATCGATGTTCACAGAGGTTGACATATTGTGCGACACAATTCCACGACCATTGTCCGACCGCGACGAACGATTGGGCGCTGGCAACCCAGCGTGCCGCTACGAGCCATCGGAGGAGGATCTGCGGCATTATGCCGAGAAGCCCGCAGACATTGCCATTGTCATCCCGAGCAACTACGACAAAGACAGCAACGTGTCCGACGACCCCAGCGACCATTACCCGCTGTTCCTCGGCGTACTCACTTGGAAAAAGTATGCCAGGTATCATGGGTACGCGTTCTACAGCGGCCCGCCCGCGAAAAGTTGCCCAGAGTTGGAGGGGCGGCACCCAGCGTGGACCAAGCCGTGTATGGCCATGGGTCTGATAAAGAAGCACAAGTACCTGATCATGGTGGACCGGGACACCACGGTGATCAAGCCACGCCTGCGCCTGGAGCCCCTGTTCGCCATGGCCGGCCTGATGGATAAGCATGCGAAGAAGGTGTTGGCCGTTGCGGAGGAGTGGGGCTCTTGCAAGAAGGGCGTCCGCTCTCCGCTGAGCGGCGACGTTAACACCGGCATAGTGCTCGTGAAGCAGTCTCCCGCCGCGGAAGAGGCTCGAGGGATTGCGTCGGACCCCAGGTTGAAGTCTGCGGGGAGGCTCCCCACTCGCTGTCGTCGTCGTCGTCGCCGTCGTCGTCGTTGGGGCACTGAGCCATGCCTACGCCGCCTGGGTGCCCCTGAGCAGCTCGTCTGTAAGGTTTAGTCGGGCCTGTCCCTTTACAGGGGGAATATTCCCAAATAGTCAAATTATCCCAGTGCGACCCTATCTAGGAGTTGGAGCATTTAGGAAAGCAACATCTACATCTACACTGACAGCTACATGTACATCTACACCTGCTATGCTATGCTAGGGTACGCTCGGCTGCGCTGTGTTATGTTATGTTATGCTATGCTATGCTATGCTATGCTGTGCTATTGCATGCTATGATATGCTATGCTGCGCTATGCTATGCTATGCTCGGTTATGCTATGATATGCTATGCTGCGCTATGCTATGCTATCCTATGCTATGATATGCTATGCTAAGATATGCTAGGCTATGATGCGCTATGCTATGATATGCCATGGTATGATATGATGTGCTATGAAATGATATGCTATGCTATAATATGGTATGCTGAGCTATGCTATGCTATGCTATGCTGTGCTAATGCTGCGCTGCTCTAGGCTGCGCTAAGCTAAGGTATACTAAGCTATGCTAAGCTAAGCTAAGCTAGGTGAGGTTAAGCTAAGCTAAGCTAAGCCAAGCTAAGCTAAGCTAAGATGAGATACGCTAAGCTAAACGAAGCTTAGCTTAGCTTAGCTTAGCTAAGCTTAGCCGGGGGAACCGCGGGGCGGATCCTGGGGGAACCGCGGGGCGGATGCCGGGGGAACCGCCCGGGGCGATTTCCACTGCCCGGCCCCTTTAAGCTCTAAAGTGAGAACCCTTCCAGGCAGAGCCTAGGTCGGGAAAGATAGCCCGGGGACGATTTTCAGACCGCTCTTGAGAATGTCTGGGAGCACGTTGAGGGTATTCTCAGTCTTTCGTCCAGAATGCCCCCTGTGTGGGGGACGGGCCCGACCCAGCTGTAGGGTTCCCGGGGGCAGCTTCCAGGGCTGGCGGGGGTGCTTCGCTGCGTCGTTATCGCCCGGGGTCTCCGTCCGTGGCCCGTGGTCTCTGGTCTCGCGCACGGTCTCCCACATGGTAGGGGGAGGGGGAGGGGAGGGAGAGGGGGAGGGGGAGGGGGAGAGGGAGGGGGGGGAGAGGGGAAGGGGGAGGGGAGGGGGGGAGGGGGAGGGGGGGGGAGGGGGAGGGGGGGGGAGGGGGAGGGGGATGGGGAGAGGGAGTGTGGTGCAGTCTGGCTGCTGCGTAGCTCACTGGGCGCGTTCCACTGCTCGCAAAGGGTCCACTCGCAGACGTCCGGAAACAGATGTCTTCCTCTCTGCGTGAGGTGTCGTGAATCCCCCGTGGCGGATCCAGGCCATTTGCGAGCGGTTACTTTGCGAGTCGTGGAGCGCGCTTGTCCGGTAGCGCGATCAGATGCGCCCGACCACCCACCCGATCATGAAGCTCCACTCCGCCTAACCTCATCGCGTCCGAACAGTCCCATCTTGCCCAGGAGATCCGCAACATACGCCTCTTGTCTGATTAATCTAGTACGGTGAATCATCTCAGAAGGTCATGCCAGTTGATGAGCTCGTGCGCGCATCTTGGTAATGACGTTGATGAGCACTGGCGCGCGCCGAACGTCTGACTGGGTCTGGCCTGATTTGGAATTGAATGGATATGTGTCACCGTATGTGTTCGAATGGCTCGTTCTTGAAATGCTCAATACATCCTCGTTGGTTGCACAACTTTGTCTTACGCGCGCATGTGGCCCGCATTGTATCATGTCGTATGGGTTCGCAACATAGTTCAGCAGATGTACACAACATGGCATTAGTTACCAGGGATCGTGAATATGCCAGGTACGGTTGCGCACCGAGTTATATTATCTCACAGGTCGGATGGACGTCGAGTTCATAACTCATGCACAAGCACATGAACGTGGCCAGACCAGATCCAGCGTCGTTTGACTGGCATCGCTTTGTATCGGTAGGATGTGCATGGGGTCCGTAACCCAGAAGAAACACATGAGACTTGCCTGGGCCAATCCAGCCAGCAGGGCGCATGCAAGAGAGAGTGACGGTAATAAGTCATAAGGCGAATGGACAGGCGGAGTATCATATAGCATGCATGTAACTACTTGTTGTCGTGTTCTCTCTGCAGTGCCCTTTAAACAAACATCCTGTTTAGGGCCTTTTGCCGCCGAGGATATCATCATCATTTCCACGCTTCTCTTCGGTCGTTCCCCTCCCCGCGAATTCAGCAAGGCGGCCTCAATGGGTGTTTGCATCCCGTACCATATTCGGAAGCCGGACGCTCGGGGTCTCTTCGCTGGGGTCTCCCACATCGGGGGGAGGGTCCAGCAAAGACTTGTCTCAGGCGCTGGCCAGTTGGTTCTACGGCCCCACCTGGTGCAAGGGCGTCACTGCAGAGCCGATCGCCAGACCTGGTTGGTGGCCGTTTCAAGGAGAGCCTTGCCAAGGGTGCAGCTGCATCACACGAGGAATTTACAAGTGGTCGTTCGATCAGATCGGTTTCTACGCCAGCGTTGCCGACAACAATACCTTCAGAAGCATGGTGACCGTGTTCCGTCCAGGCTGCCCCATCAACAGCCCGTTTGCAGATTTCATCCCACACCTTGTCTCAGGAACTCCGACCAAGGCGGCTTACGACGTCAACCACCGGGAAGTCATCTCCACGAATTTGCACGCCTGCAACAGCAAGCTGATGGATTCGAAGCCAGGCCAAGGCAACCCGTACGAGCGTTGCTCCATCTGCGACGCCTTACCTGAAGGATTCCATCCCCACAGCGACTCTTGGTCCCTATCGTGCCGCAGCCATAGCCGAGCACCTAGGTGAGCAATCGGGTGAGCCATCAGGCTCATGGCGCAGCGCGACGCTCGGGCGGCCCTTGCAGCGTGCTAATATTCCAGTTGCGGCCTCCACGTCTTGCCACATGTTCTCCTCCTGCCTTCTGCGCCCTCCTGCGGCCTGCTTCGCTCCTGCTCCTGCGCCTGCCCTACGTGCTCTCTCATGCTGTGCCGGTCTTCCCTACCCTTTCCCCCTCCTCCTTCCCCCCCTACCCTGTCCCCCTCATTCCCACCCTTTCCCCCTCCTCCCTCCCACCCTCCCTCCTCCTACCCCCCCTTCCCCTCTCCCCCTCCTCCGCCCGCAGGAGGGGGCCAAGTCCAGACGGCGCAAGTCCACACGGAGACCGAGCACTCCGCACGGACTTGCTCCGTAGGGGCTCGGCCTCCTCTCGGGAGCGGCCGCGCCCAGACGGAGGAGGCCCGTGCGGAGATCGAGCACTCCGTACGGACATGCTCCGCACGGACTGGGCATCCTCCGACCCCCCCCCGTCCCCCTCCGCACGACCGTGGGAGGGAGGCCACGCCTCGATGCCACGGCGCTCCCGACCCTCCCCCCCCCCCTTGCCCTGCGCCTGGCCAGGTCCGCGTCTGGCCGAGGTCCCCGGGGGTGTGCGGTGTCCTCCCCCCCCCCTTCCCCGCCCCCCTTGGGGGCAACGACACGCGGGGGAGTGGGGGATGGGCACGGGGGGGGGCTGCATCGACTCCAATCGCCCATTGACCGCCGATGGAGTTCTGATAGCCCCACCCTGCCCAGGAACGTGCGGACTCGCTATCGGAGGCCTGTTCCAGGTTGACGTTCCCCCCTTTGCTAGTCCCCCCCTGTCGTTACCCCCCACCCCCTCTCCCTCCCGCCCTGCTCGGGGAAGGGGACCTCCAAACGGTGCGGTGACCACACCGTGTGGTGAGCGAGTGGGGATTCGGGGTCGCCACGTGGCTTTGGGACTCGGGGTCGTTCTCCGAGGATGTCTCGGGCGACTGGGGCCTCCATGGTGCCTCTAAGGCCTCCCAGGTGAGGTCCGAGTAGATGGGGTCGGGGGATCGCGCCACATCGCCGAGGCATCGGCGATGCGGCTCGGTTCGGTGTGGAGCCCGATTTTCTTCACGCCGACGTCGCCGTTGCATCGGCGATGCATCGGCGATCCTCCGACTCCATCTACTCCGATCCCATTTAGGAGGCCTCCAGTCCCAGAGCCGTGCGGTGACGGACCGTGCGGTGAGGTCTTTGGGGGCGGGGCAGTGGCCGGGAACCGCGTGGCGCGGGCTCGCGATCTCTGGGAGGGACGCCTGAGCCAGCGCCAGGAGGCAGGAGGAGGAGGAGGAGGTTGGAGGAGGAGGAGGAGGAGGAGGGAGGAGGAGGAGGAGGAGGAGGGAGGAGGTTGGAGGACGAGGAGGAGGAGAGGAGGAGGAGGAGGAGGAGGAGCAGGAGGAGGAGGAGGAGGAGGAGGAGGAGGAGGAGGGGGACGGGGACGGGGAGGGGGAGGGGGAGGGGGAGGAGGAGGAGACGACGCCTCGACTTCTTCGGCCCCGTCCCCGTCCATTCTCGCCAGGCCTCCAGTGTCCCAGAGCCGCGCGGGGACGGACCGCGCGGTGAGGTCCCTGCATGCTCCAGGGCCAACCGCGCGGCGCGCCGCCGCACGGCTTCTGGGAGAGCCCCGGCCTGCGCCTCGAGGGCTAGCCCGGCGTGGCAGGCGCGCCCCGCCGAGGGCTTCGGGAGGCTCCCCAAGATGCCCACGAGAAGCAAAGATTCAGAGGAAGAGAAGGTACCCATACTTCTACCCTTGCCTCGTTTTCCCATTTTTGGGCCTCCCAGGATGCCCTCGTCGCCACCGCTGGATTCGTCTCGAAATCCTGATCAGAACGCGCCCCGGAAAGGCCCGGGGAGTAGCGGTATCGGTACCTTCTGGTTTCCCCAAAGATCACGGGTGCGCCTTCGGTTTTTGAGGGATTTCGGTGTTCTCGTCTGTTCTGGCGTTCGCCGCTCCAGGACGGCCCAAGAGGCCGAGGAGGCGGGGGGGTGGGGGAAGCACCGGCGGCAGGAGCGGGAGAGTGGCGGAGAAGGGGCAGACTCAGAGGAGCAGCACGAGCGGGATAGTGGCGGAGGGGGAGGAGACCTACTGGGGGGGAGGCGGGGAGGCACCTGCATCAGGAGCGGGAGAGTGTCGGAGAGGGAGGAGACGTGAGGGCTAACCAAGCCCGCGGGGGAGAAAAAGGGGGCGCAAGATGTCCAGGACTCCAGAGGGCCGCGTGGTAATCTGGCAGGGTGAACGTGCTCTGTCTTCCACCTCTCTCCTTCCGCCCCCTTCTGTTTCACTCTGCCCCTCCCCCGTCGACCCCATCCTCTTTGCCTTCCAACCCCTCGGCCTCCTCCACCACGTGTCCCTTGCCCTCGTCGTCCTCCGTTGCTTCGACACGCCATCGGCTCCTCCTCCTCCTCCTCCTCCTCCTCCTCCTCCTCCTCCTACTGCTCCTCCTCCTCCTCCTCCTCCTCCTCCTCCTCCTCCTCCTCCCCCTCCTCCTCCAACCCTCATCCATGTCTCTTCCATCCATCCTCCATCCATCCTCCTCCTCCTCCTCTTCCTCCTCCTCCCTCGCACAAGATGCACGTGATCCCGACCAAGCGCCCATGCCATTTCGGATGCCCGCACGCCGACGACAGCATCCAGGACTACCTCATATGCGTTCGGATGTGGCACCAGGTGAGCTTACCGCGCGGCCAGCTGAGCACCAACATCATGACGAGGCTCGGCCTTCCTGAGCTGACCGAGCCGTTCCATGGCGGGAACGGCATCCCCAACAGCCTTGCCAGGCTCTCCGTGGCCACCCGGACATAGCACCTGACGGAGGACGACGACATCCCGATGTCATACAACAATTCGCCGAGCCCTGAGGCTGCCCGAAGATCTTGGGCGGGGCTGGCGAGCCGTAGCTCGGCTCACTGACGGACGCGCCCTCTCAGGCGACGTTCGCTCCTCCTCCTCCTCCTCCTCCTCCTCGTCGTCGTCGTCCTCCTCCTCCTCCTCATCATCATCATCATCATCATCATCATCATCGTTTTCCTCCTCCATCCATGCTCCATCCCTCGCACAGCTGCTGCTCCATCCGTCCTTTCCCCGCCCCTCGCCCATGCCCCCTTCTTTTCCGTCCTTCTCCCCTCTGCCCCTTCCGCCGCCGGGGCACACAGGACCGCGACCCCGGGCGCGCCTCCGGGGCGGTGGTCGCGGCGCCCCACGAGGAGACCCGGCCGCCCCTTCTGCGGCAGTGGGCGAGGTCGGAAGCTGGAGCAGCAGGAGGTAGAGGACATGTTTCATGCATTTCGGTGCGGAGGGATGTGCCCACAATCGCTGAAGCTCGTTGATGGAGGTGGAGGTGGAGGAGGGAGGAGGAGGAGGAGGTGGAGGACGGAGGAGAAATGATGAAAGAGGATGATCCTGGCAAAGCAACCTAACAGCGATGTGTAGAAGCATAACTGGAAACATTGCTTGTGGTATTCATGTAAGAGTGCTGTTGTAGGATTCTGGTGTTCTCGCAGTCGCATTCGGATTCGCAGGGGCAGTCGCAGTGGCAACATCAGCGGCAGTCGCAGTGGCACTGCCAATAGTTGCAGTAACAATAGCTACACTAGCAGCAGCAACAGCATCAGCAGCAGCAGTAATAGTAACAGTAGTAGTAGCAGTAGAAGTAGTCGTGATGGTAGTAGTGGAAACAGTGAAGTAGTAGTTGTAGTGTGTGGAGTGAACGAGTAGGAATGATGGGAGCAGTGGTAGTAGCAGTAGAAACAAGGCTTTCGATAACGGTATATCAAAATGAGATCTTTGTATAAATGCATTGAGGTCTAAACAAGACACTGCTATCGACGGATGTGATTCTAAACGAGACACTGCTATCAACGGGTTGAGCCTCAAACGACACACTTGCATCAATGAGTGTAGCTCCAAAACAGGCACTCCCATGAATGGATGTAGTGTGATGTCGTAGTAGTAGTAGTAGTAGTAGTAGTAGTAGTAGTAGTAGTAGTAGTAGTAGTAGTAGTAGTAGTAGTAGTAGTAGTAGTAGTAGTAGTAGTAGTAGTAGTAGTAGTAGTAGTAGTAGTAGTAGTAGTAGTAGTAGTAGTAGTAGTAGTAGTAGTAGTAGTAGTAGTAGTAGTAGTAGTAGTAGTAGTAGTAGTAGTAGTAGTAGTAGTAGTAGTAGTAGTAGTAGTAGTAGTAGTAGTAGTAGTAGTAGTAGTAGTAGTAGTAGTAGTAGTAGTAGTAGTAGTAGTAGTAGTAGTAGTAGTAGTAGTAGTAGTAGTAGTAGTAGTAGTAGTAGTAGTAGTAGTAGTAGTAGTAGTAGTAGTAGTAGTAGTAGTAGTAGTAGTAGTAGTAGTAGTAGTAGTAGTAGTAGTAGTAGTAGTAGTAGTAGTAGTAGTATGGGCACGGACCCGTAAAACCTGAGTCTCCACCGGGGTGCTCGGCGAAGCCATTGGTGATGATGATGATGTGATGATTGAGGAGGATGATGGGATGATGACCGCGCTACTTGGATTTGTTCTGTCCGTCTTTCTCGGGCAACCAAATCTTGGAAGACATCTCGCAAACGGAAGAGGAGCGCACTGAGCAGCGGCGTGTGAAGCGGACAGTCGGCAAAACTTGCAGGCTGAGAAGCACCGCAGAAACTCGGAGGCTGAGAAGCACCGCGGCCGCGCAGTCCTACTACTGCTGGAACTAGGATTACAAGTACGCGCGCCGAGAAGCACCGTGGACACGCGGGCTCGGATACTTCACCTCTCCCGCTTGTATTGCAGGAAATCGCGCCAACCCGGCGGCTGGCAAGTACCGAGGAGGCGCAGGCTGAGAAGCACCGCGCGAGTGCAGGCTGAGAAACACTACGCGAGTGCAGGCCACGGCATTGCGTGTCACATGAATGCAGGCTGAGAAGCACCACATTTTGTTTGCCAGAGATCATTCCCAGGTCAACTGATCCCGCAACAACAGCCACGGCGTAGCTGCCACA